GTGTACCACGTGTAGTGCATTGTTAATCAAATCAAATCAAACTGTAAGGTTACCCTGTAAAAGTACAAACAACACTTGGGAGAGACAATCCCTTTGTCGGTGTGATAGAAATTTCTCGTAATTTATAATTGATAAGTATAAAAAATTCATTCAGAGGAAGGCATAAAAAGAGATAAGGAGGAGGAAAAACAAAAGATATAAAGAAAAGATCTGTGTCGGGATACGATCCTACGACCTCTGGATCTCGCAATATTCACCAATGTTCTTGCAATCATCCCGCTGAGCCATGGCGAACTCCGTACTTTGCTTGTGCAAATATTACACTATTGACGTGGCGGTTCGAGTTTCTTCAAAGGAAATGGAAAGTAACAAATGTTTGAAATTCAGCGATGTCGTATAATAGTTAGTATTTATTCCTGAGGTTTATCTTGTATGCCATATGCGACGTTTATCATGTCATTCTGTATTGCGCTTTGTTCTTCAAGTTGAACACGGCGACCGTCATTTGTAGCGCGCGCGCGAGTGGCTCAGTCGGTAGAGTCGCTGCCTCCTTGCCTTGCTTTGCGATACGTGGCTGCCAGAACGGCGCCAGTTCGAATCCCATGCTATGCTATTATTGTCATGATTGATAAAAATTATTGTGTGATTCCCTTATGTTCCAGTTTCTTGTACATGTTTCAGGAGTCCTAAAGACGGAGCTACCATAGAAATTGTTGTATTGTGTTCATAAGTCATCATTGGCACATGCCGTACGGCGGTGGCTCGTAGTCCGTGCGTTCGTGCCCAGCTTCATTGTATGGACTTTTTTATTTTGCACACGACCATTGAATTGAATAATTCTCACATATAAATGTAAGAATCATTTAACAAACTCAACTAAACCTTTAATCCTGCAGATTGCACTTTTGAAAATGAAGACGTGTAATTACATATATAAAACGTACGATTGTGACGTTACAAGAAGAATATATGCTACTTACAAGGGGATTTCAGTAAAATTGGAAGGAAAATAGGGAAAAAAACACTCTCCGAATATATGATGATCCTGTGGGGAAAATTAGTAGTACAACTAGTAAGTGTAGTTGCAAAGGGTAGAATGTCCCCAACCCATTCATTCAGAACTGCGTAATGTATTCGTCAAGACGGCCATGTGACCTTCCCATGGTGACATGGTGACACGTGAGTCGATGTGTCAATCTTGAGTGTCGCCATGGCAATATCCAAGCCGGGAAACCCCCTCTGCCAGCGGTTTGTTACTTGTTGCCTAGGCGACCGGCGACGGGATCCTGTGGGAGAAAGTACCCGTTGTAAATCCGATACATATCGTCGGAAAACAATCGGCATTGTATCCGAAATTCAGAACCCATCGGAAAAGAGTCGTTGAACGGTCAGGAAATGTACATTTGAAGACACTTTGCCGATAATAACCCGTTCAACGCGACGTCGTGAGAGAACTCCGCTCATAACACGTCACTTCTACAGACGCAGTTGAGAATACTTTTCTGATATGTAAATAGCAGAAACCCGACCTCCCCATGCACTGTGATTTTTCTCGCTAGACGTAGTCGCTAGGTGCTTTTCTCTTCGTGGTGCGTTGATAGTTTTGTCCTCACTGGTGCTTTTTGCTCTGGTACTTCGCGCAGGCGTATGATGGCTGTATGCGCATGAAATTAAAATAATGTCCTTAAATTTTAAAGATACTGTAAATCACAATTTTTGGTGTACTTTTACAGGGCTAGGACTAGAAATACCCAGGTGCAATGTGGAAAATGCACATGGTTTTCCAGATTTGCACCTAAAAATTTTTTGAATGTGCAATTTTGCACCTAGGAAATACCTAGCCTCCTGTGCAGGCCCCGCGGTGGTGGAGAAGAGTTTTTAACGCATTATTTTAATATAGCCGGCCACCCTACATAGCCGACGAGAGAAGGTTGCTTTCCGCCCACGGGGCCTGCTCCCATTCGGCAAGAAAAAAGGGAATTAAAAATCACTTTAGATAAATTGTTATGGACTTGCGAAGTTTCCGCACCCCGGAGCGCCCTCCGCCAGCCGACAATGGCCGAGGCGCGGCGTTGTCACGCCCCCGTGGGCATGGCTGGACAACTTTCTAACGGTCAACTGGTTCACTGTTTGTTTGAAAAAAATAAACAAAATCTTACCGTGTTGCCTGGCTTGTCGATCGCCATGAACGCGAGGGAAAGAGGCGAGCTGGCGGCCAAAGACATCCGGGGATCTTCCCAATTGAGAAAGGGTCACATTTGCGATACTACCGGTAGCAATTTTTGCGATCTCATATGCCCCCTCCCCCTCTTACGATCCACTTTCATGTGCTGAAGATCCGAAGCGTACTACTCGATAATATCTCTGATGAATTTCAACAAGTCGAATAAGTAAACACCTATATACATGTAACACGTTACAAGTTTTGGATTTTTTTGATTGGCCTGCCTTACGCGCTCTCGCTGCCGCAGATAATTTGCGGACGGGTGTGAATTACGCGTCGCGGGCATGTGAATTGCTCGTCGCGGGCATGTTAATGAGCCCTTTGAAAGACTTTTCTAATCACCATTCCCTTTTTTCTTGCCGAATGGGAGCAGGCCCCGTGGGCGGAAAGCAACCTTCTCTCGGCGGCTATGTAGGATGGCCGGCTGTATTAAAATAATGCGTTAAAAACTCTTCTCCACCGCCGCGGGGCCTGCACAGGAGGCTAGGAAATACCGAAAAATCAATTATGTGTATATGTGATGTTCCCACTGAAAAAAAAAAAGAATTGTACAATGATAGTCAAAATTTTAAAATGTAGGAACCTTGTTTTTTCGGGCCCACCTTGGTTTTTTTTTTCAGCCGCTTGCATTAGATTTGTTTGCGGAGGATGTCATCCATAAAATTTATTTGCTGTGGCCTTAGAGTAATAAATAACAGTAGAATACCCAGGAGCAGTATCTTCGTTTGTAAAGTCAATGTATTGTAAGAAACAGGAGGAGCCAGTAAAAACCCTTCTGGTCCCGGGCAGGGGTTCGAACCCACGGCCCCCGGGCACCAGAGCGCTCTAACCACTCGGCCAAAAAGGTCTACACCCGTTTGCCGGATCAGTTGGTAGCGCCTATAAACCCCCCACTGTTACACTACTTCCCCTTTTCTTTTCAAGATTCATCCTCGAATCTTCCGAATTCGACATCCCTGGAACGGCACTCTTTGCCAGAACTCCCAGGGCCGGTGTGGGAACCACTATAAGAAACAGGAGGAGACAGTAAAAACCCTTCTGGTCCCGGGCCGGGGTTCAAACCCACGATCTCCCGGGCACCTGAGTTTCATAACCAGACGCTCTAACCACTCGGCTAAAAGGTCTAGACCCGTTGGCCGGGTCAGTTGGTAGCGCCTATAATTATAAACCACCCACTGTTACACTACATGTATTGTGATTGACCGTGACCTTGTTCGTGTTACAGGTGTTTGTTGATGACAAGCGGGTACTTGTGGACCCCGGTACGACGGTGCTGCAGGCGGCCGCCATGGTGGGCGTGGAGATCCCCCGCTTCTGTTACCACGACAGGCTGTCCATCGCAGGTCTGTTCTAGTGCCTGATATGTTTCACAGCTAGATCAGGGCTGAAATACTGGGTAGTGCATCCAAAATTGAAGCTGAACACCCATTTTTTTTCTGTGGGTGCACTGGTGTACCCAAATATTTCTGTGGGTATTTTTGTACATCTCAAATGTATGATAGTATACAGGATATTCTTGAAGAACGCACTGTTCAACAGTTTCTTCCCAAAGTGGAGGCACAGCTGCATGTTCCCCGTCCAATGTGTGTCCAATGCCCCTTGGTATTTTCTTGTCCCAGGTAACTGCCGGATGTGTCTGGTTGAGGTGGAGCGCTCGCCCAAACCGGTGGCGGCCTGCGCCATGCCCGTCATGAAGGGCTGGAAGATCAAAACGGACTCGGACATGACCAAGAAGGCGCGGGAAGGAGTCATGGAGTTCCTATTGGTCAATCATCCGCTGGACTGTCCCATTTGTGACCAGGGAGGTGAGAGAGACAATAATTTAGTAAGAAGTAGGGGTGTAGATTTCTTCTAGTACATTCCATCACTAAAATATCATATTTTAGTAAGTGAGTAACTTCTTATACTATCTCAACTATTGATAAATAGGACAGGGCTTAATGTAGTCCTTTTCCCTGTTTTCTGACATATTTCAAAACTAGAGAAGTAACATTTGCAAAGCAAATGCATAATGTTTACCTTCGGACATGGTCTGCCCTGTTAATTTTTACTCAAACACATTCGCATACACGTACTACGAGTAGATGGTGACAGAAGTAGAGCAGACGATGAAATTGCAACATTATGTAACCCAACACCAGTCACCATGGTGACAGACGTCAATAAATCATAGCATTGGTCAGGTCAGAGATTAGTGTTTGGAACAGAAGAGGAGGAGGAAGAAACTGAGTAAAAACAATATGTTTTCCTTCGGTAAACATAACAATGAGTCTGAGTAAAGTAGAGTTTAAGTAATATGTCTAAGGACCCGAGAAATCTGGAAGGTACTGATTTAGGTCATGCCTGTGTGTTCACAGAGCTCTGTAACGGACTTGACAGATTTTATTGATTTTTGGTTAGATGATCTTTTTGTAAATTGTATTATTTTGTAAGTTACGTCGATGAAGGTTAGACATCCAGGTAATACGATATGCCAAAAAACAGTTACTCAAGCAACTGGATATGGACTTAAGCTCCTGTCCTGTATAACAGGAGCTTTCAGACTAATTTGCATCATCTTGTCTTGACTTGTCCGACTTTTGTTCCTTTTTCGACTTCCAAAAATTTGTCTTCACTTTATTTGCATATCAATCAACAGGTTGTGTATATAAACCTGCTTTCCCCTCTGGTCTCTCAGTCACTGACGAAAGCTAGTGGATACTAGCTGAAACGTCTGACGTTTTCAAAATCATATCCAGTTGCTTGAGTAACTGTTTTTTGGCATATTTTGTAAGTTGTATTTTCAATCAGGTATTGCAAAAATATAAAAAAGAGTATGTGATCATGAGTACCATCCTTTTCTGTGTGAGTGGATCAAACCATTTGGGGCTGCAATGGGGTAGGGAATTTCCTCAGCAGCCTTCCTAGCCAGTCAGTCAAGCTTGTCTACGCTTGATGTTTCTGACTTATGGAGAAGAAATGCTGCTACAGTGAAAAGTGGAACCAGTTTAGCTCAATAAAGAGCTAATCTTCCACTGGTCGTGACAGAGAAGACAGACGCTATGTACAGTATTTACAGGTTCATTGTACTGGGGTAAATTCCCCTAGCTCTTTTCGACAAGCACAATGAACAGTGGACCACGGCTAAACGTCCCGTCCGAAGTACTGCGACCCTAAACAGTAGCATGCATGTCGGGTGAGCGACATCAGCCGGGATTCGAACTCCCAACCTCTTAGTCCAGAAGCAGGATCGCTAACCACTGGACTATGCACGCTACTGAGAGTTGAGTGAGAGTTTGTTCAGTGCCAAGAAGTGGCCCTTGTTGTCTTGCACTGAGCAAACTTTTTTACAAAAACAACAAAAAAACAGCCATGTTGTTGTGTCCCCAGGGGAGTGTGACCTGCAGGACCAGTCCATGACGTTTGGCAGTGACAGAAGTCGTTTTACTGACAACGCCTTCTCCGGGAAACGTGCCGTCGAAGACAAAAACATCGGACCTCTGGTCAAAACCATCATGACTCGCTGTATCCACTGTACCAGGTGTATCAGGTAAGCACATGTCTCAAACAAATCTTTTCTACTGCTACTGAACTGCACAACTACAACACATTTCATACCAAAAGACTAGCACAAATGCATATAACAGTGTACAAAATACTTTTTTGAACCAGGTTGCCCAGTGGGCCCAGTGGGCAACCTATGGCAAAAATTAGGTTGCCCATCAGAATTATAGGTTGCCCCACCTGTAAGTTACTACTTTCCTTAAATTAAGTAATATTACATATATACATAAGCCTTTGACAATATTTCTAACAGCACTTAGTTAACTGATGGTACTAGTAATAGACATTCATACTTAAAATTAAAAAGCATCTGCCAGATACAGTGGTGCAAGCCAATTGGGCATGATTTTTTTTTTGGGGGGGGGGGGGCATTCTTAAAATTCAGGTAGCACACTGGGCTACCTAGGTTCAAAAATAGGTTGCCCAAAGTAAAATTTGGTGGCCCGGGGCAACTGGGTATTTTGCACACTGAAATTATAGGAGCTTATTAGTCTTGAGTAGCAATGTATTAGTGTGTAACACTGTAAAAGCATCAGTATTAAAAATGTGTGTTTGTCCTGTATAACAGGTTTGCCAGTGAGATAGCAGGTGTGGATGACCTGGGCACAACAGGGCGTGGTGGGGACATGCAGGTGGGGAACTCAGTAAACTAATGTGCAACAATATAATGTGGTGTCGCAGTAGGGTCCTGTCCTGTATTTGTTTCTATGTGTGTGACACAACAAAAGCAACAGCTGCGTTTGTCCCACATGTATTGTATCGTTACAATTTCAATAAATCAACAAAGTAATTAAGCTTTTTCCTGAAGTTTTATATTCTTTTGGAATGGTTGATCCACAACACTCGATTTAATTAGGATTGCAACATAATTAAGTTACAGTCCATCAAAACTTTAATTTGCAACATAAGATAAAAAGTTAAAAGCAACTTGCTCTTGGATACTAATGTCAGTCACATGGACTCTTAGTCAATATACTTGTACAAAATGTAGCAGTAAATATCAATATCAGACACATTTCAGAATATTTTATGTTTTGCCACCCTGAAAGTGCATTGGATGCCTTAAAGTTGTCACATGGAAAATGGGAAGAGTCAGAGCTATCTGACTGAGTGTGTAGGCAGCCAAGAACATCTCTAAAGAATACAAAGCTAACCCAGGAGGCAGGCAGAGCAGTACATGCAATACTCAAGCACCACCTGGCAGATTCTCTGTACACTGCAGAGGTAGTCAAGTACATGTACATAAAATTTATGATAAAAATGAGGAGAAAGTTGACTTAAAAATCCTGTAATTGCACTGCTTGCCTTTGAAAGTTCAGCATTTGATAAATAAATGTTTTTTTTGCTCAGGTCGGCACATATGTTGAGAAACTGTTCAAGTCGGAGATGTCAGGGAACGTGATTGACCTGTGTCCGGTGGGAGCGCTCACGTCCAAACCGTACGCTTTCACCGCCAGACCGTGGGAAACCAGGAAGACAGAAACCATTGATGTGATGGATGCTGTGGGCAGCAACATTGTAGTCAGTACTAGGTCGGTAAATGTTCAACACAACTGTAGAGGAAGCAACTATTTGGATGATTTGAAAAAAAAGAACATTTCAGCCTCTGAATTAACTCCAAAATGCTGATATTTTGGCCCCAACAGATGAAGGAAGTCCCTTCTCTTTAAAGGTGTTACAGTTTTTGTAAATCTACCAATACATTGGTTTGATTAAAAGTTTGAAATTCATTGTTTGAACTACAAACCAGCCAGGAATGTTGACTTCATGGCTATCTATGATCATAGCTTTTTTGGCTATCATAGGATGCCTACGTCTGTTTTTATTTGTTTTTTTAGCCCTGCCTTTTGAAATTTTTTCTGAAGAAAATTCAAGAACCAACAAATCAAATTGGCTTAATCCTTCTTTGCACTACAGGGCTCAAAATACTGGGTGCATGTGCACCTAAGTGCACCCAAAATTGGAGCTGTGCACCCATTATTTTTCTGTGGGTGCACTGGTGCACCCAAATATTTTGGTAGATATTTTTGTACATATTAAATTTATAATAGTATACAAAATATTCTTGACATCTAAGTGTCAGAAAAATAATAAAATCTTTGTTGTACTACTTGTGTAAGAATTTGAAGCTCCCATTTCAGATTCAAGCTTACAAGAGGAGCAGTAAGATCTGTAAATTAGGTCTTCTTTTATATGGTGCACCCAAAAAATGTGTGCACCTAATATTGTATGTTGGGTGCACCAGTGCACCTACATGTATTCCCAAAAATATATTTCGAGCCCTGCACTAAGAAGTAAGATTTTCCCTGTCACAGGGAGCTGTGTGAAGCTGTGGAATGTACTACCAAATGAGGTTAAGGTTGTATCCGATGAGAATTAAAACCATTAAGTTGCATACATATAGTGTACAATTGCTCGATGATAGTTGTATATTGAAATCTTTTAGAAATGGTAATATTAGTTTTACACTTAGTTTTACACTTAGCCAATAATAATATTGAAATGTTTAGTAATGGTAATATTAGTTTTACACTTAGCCGATAATTTGCTTGTTCAATGATTTTAGCTATAATTAGTACCTTGTCTGACGTGTGACCTCAACGTGTATGTAAATTTGTAGTCATATGTGTATATTTGTATGGGGGGGGGGAAATTGTGTGAGGAGCCCTGGAAGATTAGCCTGAACGGGCTAAAGGGTATCGTAATAAACTGAAACTGAACTGAAACTCACACCTTCCTTCTTGTCCCCCAGGTCTGGTGAAGTGATGCGGATCCTCCCTCGCCTACACGAGGACATCAATGAGGAGTGGATATCCGACAAGACACGGTTTGCGTACGACGGTCTGAAGCGACAGCGCCTGACCCAGCCCATGATGAAGGACGATAGCGGGAGCCTGGGGCCGTGTACGTGGGAGGACGCCCTGCTGAGGACCGCGGGCCGGCTACACGGTGTGCGGGGGGAGGAGGTGGGGGCCGTCGTGGGGGGGCAGGTGGACGCTGAAGCTCTGATCGCCCTGAAGGACCTACTCAACAGGCTGGGCAGTGAAGCACTCTGCACAGAGGAGGTAGGTCTCATTTTGTGCATCTTGGATCTTCAGTGTGTAGGGCTGCAAATATTAGGTACAGGTCCAAAGTACCTAATCCTTAAGTACCGGTTTCGTACCTGTATAAAGTTACATTGATTATTATATGGTATTTGTGGCCTAAAATGCTTGAATACATGTAGCTGGTAGCTGCGTACCTAGGCCTGTTCACTGGACTAGGATCCGGACTTGTAAGAATGTTTAGGTTCAAGTCCAAAAAAAACCTAAAACTCGAGAACCAAGTCCGGACTTATTACCATAAAGGACCATTTCACATACCCCTTTTATTTCCAAACCACCTAAAACCTTCCGTAGATTGTAAAATCTTTGCTGCAAAACGAAGAAAACATTGCCATCGGGCATCGTCAAGTACCGGCCTCCATGTTATGTGGCCAAAGTTTCACCCAGACAACATTGCAAGGTTGACAACATGCAATTTTGTATATGCCATGGGTTTAGGTCCAGACTTTCAAGTCCGGAACTGAACCTAAACCTCTGGACTTGAATCCGGACCTGAACCTAAAATTGGGTTTAGGTCATAATGCATCACTACCCATGGGTTCCAGAGACAGGAAAGTGTGATTGTGTTACAGACTGACAGTGCTAACTACATGTACCCTAAAAATCTGTTGCGTTTTTAATTGGTTTTGCTCCCTCTTTGTCACCTTGTGAAGTTTATTTCCACTTACCTGGAGATGAAAAGTAGAATATCTTTAGTTAGGTTTGTCTGATAATTCTCCAAGAACAAAAACTAACCCTTAACTGTCAAGTTCATCAATGTTTCTGTTATTATTGACAAACTTCAGAAGAACATGTTAACTTATTGAATTGTTTCTAAACCTATATGTGCCTATACTCAGCTCTATTCTGTAGGAAACATGTTCTTGACTTGGGAATCTGCTCAAAGAGAAGGACGTTAATTCTTCAGTTCAGTTTCAGTTTTATTCAGTTTTATTCAGATCCACAATTAGCCTCATAAGAGGCTATTCTTCCTGTGGTCTACACATTTACATACATATATTACAAATGTACAAAAACATTACAAAATTAACAGTACATGGCAAACTTTACACAAATTCACTATTTACAATCCAGTACTTTGCTAGTTGCCTATGTTGTTCCACGTGTGTGACATCCTGTACATAAAGCGCTTTTTCTGAGAGTTTGATTTTGGTTTTGGTAGTCTGATTTTGTTTGTGCTGGTTGAACGTGTGCTGTACTTGTGGATCTCAGATTGGAATGTGATTTTGTCGTACAAGGCCTTTGGTTGTTTGGTGAGCATGATTCGTTTAAATGTGACAAGGCTTCTCTGTTGGATTCTGTCCCTGACAGTCAGCCATCCTAATGTCTTCAGCATGGTGTCCACATGTGCATCCCGATCACAACCAAGAGCTAGCCTTGCTGCCCTGTTCTGGACCACCTGTAGTCTTCGTATGTTGTTCTGTGTTGTGTTTCCCCATACGGAGCAGCAGTAGTCTATATGTGGGATTATTAAGGCGTTGACTACGGCTATTCTCTGCAGATGTGGTAGTAAGTCCTTAACCCTTCCCACCTGTGCCAAGCTTCTGTTGCACTTCTTAACTATGTGAGCAATGTGGTTGTCGTATGTGAGGTTTTGATCAAGGTGAAGTCCAAGTAGCTTTACTGAGGGACATTGTTCTAGACGTTGTCCCCTTAGCTCCAGCTCCAAAGGTGGTGCTTGCCTGGTTTTCTTTGTTGTTCCCACAAGCATCGTTTTCGTCTTTCCATTATTTAGTTTCAGCATGTTTTCATCTGACCATGTTGCCACTCTTTCTAAGTCTGTTTTGGTTTCTGTTCTTATGTCCTCTAATGTGTGTCCTCGTGTGTGAATCGTGCTATCATCAGCATATTGGTCTAATGACCCATTTTGTACCGCTTCCGGCATGTCGTTTACGTAGTTTCTTGTTTTGTTTCCCCCAGATCTTCCCCATGAATGGTGCGGGGACAGACCTGCGCTCCAACTACCTGCTCAACACGTCCATCGCAGGTGTGGAGGAGGCAGACGTGCTGCTGCTGGTGGGGACAAACCCGCGCTTCGAGGCTCCACTCTTCAACACACGCGTCCGGAAAAGCTGGCTGCACAACGATCTCCAGGTGGCGGTGCTGGGCGCACCTGTCAACCTGACGTACGAGTACGCCCACCTGGGGAAGTCTCCCAGCGCTCTACAGGACCTCATCGACGGGAAACACCCGTACTCCAAGGTCCTGGCAGACGCCAAACGTCCCATGGTGGTGGTAGGCAGCGAGGCTCTACAGAGGGGAGACGGGGCGGCTGTTCACAAGGCCGTCAGCGCGCTGGCACAGAAGCTGCGCACGACCAGCCAGGCAGACGGGGAGTGGCGAGTTCTGAACGTGCTGCACAGGGTGGCCAGCCAGGTGGCAGCGCTGGATCTTGGTTACAAGGCGGGGGTGGACGCCATCCGAGAGAACCCGCCCAAGGTGCTGTTCCTGCTGGGCGCGGACGGTGGCGCTGTTACACGTGAAGATCTTCCCAAAGACTGCTTCGTTGTTTACCAGGGTCACCACGGCGATGTGGGAGCACCTATGGCCGACGTGGTCTTGCCAGCGGCGGCGTACACGGAGAAGACGGCCACGTACGTAAACACGGAGGGCCGCGCCCAGCAGACCAGAGCGGCCGTCAACCCGCCCGGGATGGCACGGGAAGACTGGAAGGTCCTGCGGGCGCTGTCGGAGCTGGCCGGCCTCACGCTGCCGTACGACACGCTTGACGAAGTCCGAGGGAGGCTGCGGGAAGTTTCGCCCAACCTGGTGCGGTACGGAGACGTCGAAGACGCTAACTACTTCAAGCAGGCACAAGAGCTGTCAGGTCTAGTGGAGGGGAAAATCAGCGCATCACCCCTGCAGCCAACTCTGCAGGAACTTAAGGACTTCTTTATGACAGATTCTATCAGTCGAGCCTCCCAGACCATGGCCAAATGTGTCAAGGCTGCATCAGACGAGCAGGAGAGCAAGCATACAGAATACTAGCTTTCAATTTCAGTGTGTTATCTGGTGCAGTGATGCTGCTTCATACAGTAACAGGATATCAATATCAAAACCAGTGGGGAAAATACAAAAGAATTAAAATAGGCTTGATCTAATTTGCTCCAATGTAACATATATATATAGAAAGTGTGAAGTAAACAAAAGAGTGCTAAAACCTGTATTACTGCACTGTACATGTACATCCCAAATGTGTTAGAAGTTCTTTTACCTTGAAACTACATGACTGTATAGGTACCAGATAAGAGTCCATACTGTTATTGAATTTCCACATTATCAGTTACATTTCAATGAAGATGAATGACAAAATGTGACTTGCAGCTGTGTTCTACATGCTTGTGACAATAAAGTTGTGTTCAACAAGATCAATGTCTTGTTTGTAATTAATACACGCGTATATATACATTTTACAACTAAGTAATGTGAATTTTCAGAGCTAGATGGAGGGAAATCGTCGGTGGCCTATGAGGCATGGGGCCTATGAGGCATGGGGCCTATGAGGCATGGGGCCAAGGGCCCAGGTAAGGTAAGGTACATGTAATGTGAATTTTCAATCTGACCAATACATTGTACTTGTACTTGTAAAGACTCAGAGAAAGACAAACCAAGCCAAAGGACAGATGGCAGGAACTGAACAGGCCTGTGTACCATGTTAAACTACTTACATGCCAAAAACCATGGCAATATTTCAACCTCCACTTGTGAGAAAATGACCCATGCAGTTCCAAAAAAAAGCTACATGTATAAGCTAGCCCAACCTACTTTGTATAACACTTCTTTTTGAGTACAAGAACTGTTGTCCATTGAAAGATCACAACCATAGCCTGAACTGAACCTACTCCTGAGTAAAAACAAAGCATTTCCAGTACATGAGATGTGAAAAACTGACGTTCTGCTGCAGTACCATAGACAGCTGATAGGAGGTCCATAATCGACCTTGCCCTTCGATTTGCCTACACCAATCCACATACCAAAATTTTAGGGTACAGATCCGTGTAAAGTTTTTCTTCTCCCACCCACAAATGCCAAAAAAAGCCATAACTTGGTAAGAAAATGTTTAGCCCTCATACAGCAGTGTTCAATTGTAAATGATGACTAACAAAGTGTATAGACCCTTGTAACATATACATTTTTGTAAATGCATGACAATGACATGGAAAGTGTGTATCACTAAGGCTTCCTAATGTCGCTGGCTACCACGTCGCTAGCATGTACAGTGTAATACATGACATTGTACATCTCCTTAAATTCACCATTTCCCTAATATGCTGGTCTTGGTAATCTCCAAGCGGATCCCTTTTGGTGGCAATTTTTAAAAAGACAGTATTAAATTGTCCAGGCAGTATCCATTAGCCAGAGAAGGCCGACGGGTAGTGGGGGTAGCGACTAAAAAAAACGACCACATATAAAAAGCTAACGATCGATCGTTCCCCAACAACCTCTGCTTGGAGAGTAGGTCTTGGTGCCTGGTGGAATTATGACAGTGTTTATACAAGACTTAGTGGTTCATACTGCAAGCACTAAATATCAATATGCAATGTCTCACATGTACATGAATGAATTTATTGCGCAAGAGATTTTAAGTTGTACAATATTAATTGCATATTAATTGGTGGTTGGTTTTGAAATACATTTTACATTGTAGTAGCAGATATAAGAAGTATATACTCTCTTGCATTGTAGAATATATCTGTATACTAGTACTTGCATTGTAGAATAGATTTTAACTGTTTCCATAAGATTTGGCATTTTCTATACATGTACATAGTGGAAATCGCTAGAAAATGAAAACATGTGGAAACAATCTAACATGGTGTAGTAAAAGGAAGCATTGAACCAAAATTTACAGACTAAAAAGATAAAAAGCAATTCTGAACCATACTAGACATTCAGTCTGTTTGAAATTTGCAAAATTTGAAATTTGAATACAACATTACAACTACATGTACTACACAAAAACAATGTCCTAAACAACAATACTATCGGTGTCAATTACATTTGTATATTCATATAATGGCACAAATTGTAAAACTTGATATATCTAACAACCATTTCTAAAGATGGTACATACTATAGATATAACCATTATTTGACCAATTACTGTATTCACAAGTAATAAATTGATAGCACTTGTATGACACAAGGCTTTAATGACACATACTAGTCTTAGGTCAATCTCAGACGGTTATATTTAATCTTCAATGCTTACTGCTAAAACACAAAGTCATAGAAGATAAAACAGTTAAATCTGTATCATCATAACAAATCAAATCTTGGAGAGAAGTATACTAGGCTCCATTGGGGTTCGATACACTAGAAGCCATGTCTATTGCGGCCTAACACAAAAGTACCTGGAGAAGTTCTGTCAGAACTAGACTAAGTTGATCGATGCAACAGTAGTTGCGGGAGGATCTAACTTAAGGTAACAATTGTACACACATACAGAAACAACTGGATTCATCAGTCCACATCTTATCATACTACATGTGGTATCATGTAGTATTAGTACCTCATGAGTACATGTATTAGTACCTGATATCTCCTCTTTGGCCATGTTTGATGGGAAATATTAGGCTCTTCACCTTTGCTGACAAGGTTATGTCAATAATTTCTCAATCAGTTCTATTACCACCATTTGTGGTATAACAAGTAAAAGACAGATAAAAAGACAATGTACATTTTGTATAATCATGAAGTAAATTCACAAATTTATACATTTTTCTATATAGCAGTACTGTCAAAATTATGGTCAATAGTACCTGCCCGAGACAGACTTTTCCTGAAATACTCGATTTCTTTCCCCTTTAGTCCATTGGAAATGTGGACTTTGCACCATTGTACATGTTGCCATCTGTTCAGAATCTGCAGGATATTATTACACTACCAGTGTAATCATTTTTCAATTCTTTCTTATGCATCTTACAGGTAGTAATGTGTAGACTTATGCACCCAGTACATGGAGCAGTGCTAAGACATAGGTCATTTGGTAAGACATTAGCACTATTCAATTTTACCCACACTAGTCTAGTAGTTCATAATACAGGTGGTATTTCAAGCTGAAACATGAGAGTTACAACTGGTACAATTTTACTAGGAACTGCAGAATCAATTTGAGAAGAACACTACCTTTCTTTTTATACAGCAGTATTCAATTGCAAATGTTGACTAGCAACATTTACTGGGAACTTCAGAATCAACTTGAGAAGAACACTACCTTTCTCTTCGTCAAGGCTAGCTACAAATTTAAAGGCATCCAATGCGATTTCAGAGCAACAAAACTGGAAATATTATGAATAAGGCAATTTTTATGATATTAGCACATTTCAACCAGTATTTCGTACTTTGGGCATTTAAAACTGCAGAAACAAGCCCCAATGAGAGTCCTTTATTTTAGGGGAGGTACCCTAAAAATCAGCCAATGGCCCTTCCAGTAACAATTTTTTGTCAGAATTTTGGGAATTTGTTCCATGATGTTCAATATACATTGGGATAGTGTGTTTTCAACTCAGTATGTATTTATGTAGATAAGTGACTAGAATATTGACTTTGAAAAATCGGGTTTCCAAGCCCTAAAAACTGCACTGGATGCCTTTAAGAGAATGTCGTCTATTCTGGTCTTGGCTTATTTTCATTATTTGCTTTCTCAATGGTAATTTCCACATGCTGACAGAACTCTCGGATGGCCCCCTGACCACCGCGCCGCTTGGAGACGAATCGTGAGTAGTTCTTGGCAGGATGCTGGGCATCCATTGGACAGCCGTTCACCCCTGCCTTCTTGATACACTCTGAGTCACTTTCATCACTCCCTGGGGAACAAAAACATCTGCTTGTAACTAACCAGCAAGATCTATTGTAAAACCCTTGTCCTGCTGGCACCAGATACAATGCATATGGAACACCCTCCAGTTTAATTTGGGACTTCCAGTTTAATTTGGGACTGGCCTCCCATATCTCCACAACCGTACACCCAATTGGGCTAACATCGCAAACTGAAAGTAAAAATGATGTTATAAATACATAGCAGCCATTGATTACCCCGTAGGGATTAATCCAAAAAGCAAAATTATGCAAAATTATGCATAATTATGCATAACGACATTGTATGCATAAGGTTCAAAGGGTTATGCATAATTATGCATAAGGGTTCCATAAGGTTAGAAGGGTTATGCATAATTATGCATATTTTTTTTATTAAGACGTAGTGTGTAATGTAGCATGAGGGAGCAGATCGCAAGCAACTGACGGGGGATTTTTTTTTTGAATATGAGAGTACAGTAATGCTAGAATGCATTGTTTTATTGTCTTTACAGCATAACTGGAAAAATCATTTTGATAAAGACTAAATGGTGTGTAAGTAAGTAGGCACTTAGGGTTCAATCTGAGAATTGATATGAGGGAGCTGGCTGGTTACATGAGGGAGCAGCGCCCTTATTCCTATTTAGAAAAAACCCTGCCACCCATATAGGGCATATACAAAATACGGGACTTCTCAGTGAACATTTCACAATGGAAAATGGGGCATTTTTACCACAAAATTTTGTAGCGACCACTGCACTACATGTACCAGGGTTTAGAAGCAACAATCATATATTATTTGCAGGGCATGTCTGGGCAAAACTGTAGCCAAATACATGTTCATGTCATTTACAAAGGTGGACACTTGACGATGCCCAATGGCAATGTTTTCTTCATTTTGCAGTGCAATTTTTTGACTGTTGAAGATCTCACTTAGAATAAAAGGAGAATGTGACATGATTATTTCTTGTTCCAGATGTTCAGTTTTTTTTGGACCGGAACCTAGTAAACAGTTTTACAAGTCCGGGACTAGTTCTAGCGAACTTGAACACAGCACCAGGGCTCTAAATTAAAGGTGGTCCGTTGGCCACCGACCACTAAAATTTACACTGGGACAACTAATTAAAAAGACACTTTGGGACATTTTTGGGACAACAGAAAAATAATCAACATCAGAATGTCAGCCCTTCTTTGTTTATCAGTCCCCCCCCCCCGAATTTCCAGGCTACCCTGTGTGCCTGGCAGTCAAAATGTAAGCAAAATAAAGTTGACTTCAAGTTGAAGTGACTGTCATACAATACTTCCCGAAAAACAGGTTGGGGCAGTTCATTATCAGTCACCTCGGGACAACTGAAATTCATTTTTGGGACAGTGCTGGGATAATAGGAAGAAAAGTTAATTTCGAGGCCTGAGTACCAGAGAGTTTGTGCAAAGGTTCTACTCACCTATATATGCCACCTGTAGCCAGTCCAGACCCAGATCCTTCCTCCAGGAGTCTACAACAGCCAGCTTGTCCTGTCATACATGTACAACATTACAAGAGATACAAGACCAGGAGATAGCACTGGGACAATTTTAACGTCATTTTCCCCCAAAACGGGGGTTAGATGTGCTTGCATCAAATGCAAGTCTTCTTTTAGAGCAAGATTTTTATGGCTGGATGCCCTTCCTAACGCCAACCTAAACCTTAGTAGAGCCCAGTATCCCTCTAACTGAGGGGGGAAATATGTGCTTATAAGTGCCTTTCCCAAGGGCACAACGTCTGGGTGCTTGACAGTCGGATGCTCTATCCACTACACCACACAGACGCCACATGTCTGAGGCCCAAATTAAACATCAACATTAACAATGTACTCAAATCCAGTTAACTGGGATTACAACACAAGGATGAGATGTAACATGTATTACATTTACATACACATTGTATTCAAAAATAGAAGTCCACTGTAACTATCAACAGTCACAAAGTTTTCTTGATTTTGATTTGATTTTATTAGTTTGCACATAAACAAAAAGACAATAATAATACAAAACAAGGATAAAACAGGTGCAGGAGGAGGGGAGAAGCATGGAATGCTTATACAAGGCCCTCCTCCTTTAGGGCCGGAGTTAGTTCATTCCATAAGGTGACAACTTTGTATCTAACCGACATTTGGGCAAGAGAAGTTTTTACTAGGGGGATATGAAAATCGGAACGTTTGCGAGTTTGATAGTTGTGAATCTGAAAACGAAAATTTAAAAAATCATCAAAAGTATCCGGGAGTTTATGGTTTATATATTGGGCTTCAAATCCAAATCACAACAAATAAGAACAAGTTGACTGTCCACCCACCATGCAGCCCTCCTCTAGCTTACAGCCAATCTTGCCTGCCAGTTGACGGTGAACCTCACTTTCATCCTCTGAGATGATCCTCACCTAAAAACAGGTGACAGAAATTATAATTATCTACCTTAACCTTTAATTATCTATCTACCTCTATATTATAATTATGTATCTATAATTATCAGGCCACACCAATTTTATTAGTTGCTTCTTGGATTCCCCGGTCCAACTTTTTTCTGCATTTTGAATGAAAAAATCAACAAGAAGCCATAGGCGACAATTCTCCGTGAAGTATTATATATTGCAACAAAAAGAAGTAGCCATTGGCGACAAGTGTGATAAATCGAACAAAGAAAAATTGTTTAAACGCGCGTCGGCTCAGTCATCTTAAGACGCAACAACCAATCAGAGATGCGAGATGCCTACACGTGACGCGGGAAGGGCGCGCGATGCCCGAAATATTTTTGCGTCAATATTCAGCGCCGTGATTCAAGAGATTAATACCCGGAAACAATTTTTTTCTTGTTTTGAACGCATTAACATGCATTTACGCTAATCTAGTATGATTCAGGGTTACTTTTTTTTAACCTGCCATGGCCAGATTATCTAAAGATGTGTGTATTGTGTGTACAATCTATAGAAAGAGAAATGTACATCAGGTCCGATCATCCGATTTTCACGTTTCGGTTTTTTGGACTCGGTTCATGAACGTATTTTGGTTTGGCTCCTGGAATGTGCAAAAAAATGACTCCCGGGACTGTCTACAGGGAACACTCGCACATTCGCGGTGTATCAGGACAGCGCGACTGGTCGTCATTAGCGCAGTAACAGTTGCATAAACGGACGAAACCATTTCAAAGAAATGGGGATGTTTCGAAAATAAGCATTTACTCCAATATCAAAACAGCTACGGTAAAAATAAAAAGACGTGCATCATCCCGGACATAATGCAACACCACATGCGAAATTACACAGAAATGCGACGTACGGAAGAATGCGTTTTGGCTGCGAACATCTTCCAAAACACTTGGCATCTCTTAACCATGGGCAAAAACATCTGGAACCACTTATAAAAACCACCCCGTATCTGCATGAACTTTTTTGAACCCCACTGCTATTCCAAACAACGCGTTTTTCTGGACCATTCCAATTCGCCTCGTAATTGTAGGGGTGCGTCTGCGATATTACATTGACCGCGAAAGCAGCAACGGCAAAAATACACATTCGTGCATCAACACGGGCATGCCCGCAGACGGCGTATAAAATTGCGTGCCGATTACACAAAGAGAACCCAGTGTTTTGACTGCGAACATGAAAAATCAGCCGATTACAACACTCCGTCCGGAGGTCCTGACCTCCTTCACGGAGTAATTATGATTATGAAAAAGACATTTAACAAGAAAGGTAACATTTGCAAAGCAAATGCATAATGTTTACCTTCACACATGGTCAGCACTGTTAATTCTTACTCCAATACATTCATATATATGGTCAGACAGGAGACTAAATCCCTCCTGCTATAAAATTGCAACATTATGTAACCCAACACCAGTTACCATGGTGACAGACGTCAACAAATCAGGTAATTGGCAAGGTCAGAGGATAGTATTTGGAGAAGAGGAAGAGGAAACTGAGCAAAAACAATGTGTTTTCCTTCGGTAAACATAAATATCCAAGACACTATGCACACCATTGCAAAAACACAGAAAGGCCTGGCCCAAGTACTTTAAAAGCTTGTTTCTTTGAACATTGGAAGTAAGGCCTAGGAAAAAAATGTTGTGTTTCCTGACCGACTCTAGAAAAACCTGCCGACCCTAGCCTTCTTTTGGGTGGAGCCCTGCAAGGGACAAATTTTTTGAGCTGATTGACCTTTCTACATTGTAGCTCCATGATCTGACACCTGAGTGATACAATCATTAATAATTATTGTATCACTCAGGTGTCAGATCAATACAAACATTGAACTGAAAAAGGTGTCCTTCATGCAGGTTTTACTTTGTTAAACTGTATTGTACAAGTTGGATCACTAGAGATTGCCAAAATGAAAAAGAAAGCAAAAAAAAAGCAATTGTCATTTTTTCCCTCCCTATTGACCATGATTTTTAAAGGACTGAAACAGTTAACACATTTTTTCCTACACCTAAAATAAATTATTTCCTACACTTAAAATAAATTCCTCCAATTATAGCTATGACAGCACGTCGGCAGAACGTACTGCACCTGCGCGAAATCCGTAATGTATTGTACATAGCACTTTGGCAGAACGTCTCACATCAGGTCGTATTCGCACATATAAGGTTAGCATATCGTCTGTAGTTTCCAAATGTTATGTCGGAAAAAATCTTGTCTGCAACAGGCAAAATTCTGATGCAACGTTGACCAAAAACTGCGAAAATCCAGGGTTCTGCGCAGGCGCAGTACGTTCTGCCGACGTGCTAGCCATGACATGGTTTTGCACATTTGTTTGTTTATTTCGATCTCCATTAGTATGTCATTGATTAATTCTATTACTATTCTTCCTGGAGTCCACATAAAGAAAATAAATAATGATAACATAATAATAATAATTACTTTTAGTAAATAAATAAAACATACAAAACATTACCATCATGCACTACACCTTACCTCCACACCCCTACTGGCCAGCTGTCTCATACCGTTGATGTCGTGGACGTTGAAGGAGCGGAATTCCTCGCCAGTTGGCGAGAGATGGACCTGTGCCTCAGTCAGCGCACCTTCAGCACTCACCACCATCAGACATGGTGCCTGCGCCAAAGTTAACGACAATGAAGCTTATAATAAAACATTGAACTTTATTCCAACACACAATTTACAGAGAGATCAAATTTTCAGTGACCACTGTTGCCTTCATCAGGATAATGAATGACCACTTCACAACATGATCTCGTGAGATAGAGTTACGGTTTACAAACACGTGACCTTATTTACACAAGACTTTACTGAATATCAGATACATGTATGTGACGTAAGCAATTGATCAAAAGTGCCAGGGAGTTTATATCGTCCACCATCTCAATGAAGTTAATTTTTTTGCATATTCATCATGTGAGGGGCTAAATGCAGCAAGTTACATGCAGCACAAATAAGTAATACTAGTAGGGAAACTATGCTATGTTTACAGCTACATAGTACAGTCAGTCATACATGTCACACATGCCATTCACTACATGCATCCACCCAACAGACTGCAGGCCAGCTGGCCTTTTGTGATCTGTAGTTAGGAAATTCTTGTAACTTGCCTGCCTCTTCTCTTTACCAAAGTAGCCAAACCGCAGGACTCGCTGCTCCGCGATTGGCCAATCAATGTCAATGTCTATGTCCACACTGTACTCAGCTGCCATCTCCAGATAGCCTACCCTCCCACCCTGCACACACAACAAACAACACACACAGGACTGAGTAAACTTGGAAGAAGTTGAGTGTTATGTTTACACTCAGGCCACACCAATTTACTTTCTTGGTTAACGGATTCGCCCGCTTCATTTTTTTCTGATTTGCAAATAAAAATAAAAATTCAGAATCAACTGCAAAATGCTCATATTTTGCCCTGAACAGTTCAAAACAGTCCTTTTCATCCTAGTTGTTACAGTTATTCCATCTTTCAATGCAATGGTATCATTAAAAGTTCAAAATTGATTGTTTAAATTTTGAACCAGCCTGGTGTGTTGACTTCATGGCTCCTATCGTACCATTTTGGGCCATAATAGGATGCCTAGGCCTGTTTTTATTTTTTATTTCGCCCGCCTGCTCCATTATTTTTGTAGAAAAATCCGTTAACCAAGAAATTAAATTGGTGTGGCCTTAGAAGTGCAGATGGTACAGACTTGACTTCAGACTTGCACTTAATGTAAATTCATTAAAAATGTGTAAGACCAACTAGCTATATAGTACTAGTACTTAGCATGGAGAAAATCAAAATTGCTGAAATGTAAGCAACTTATCACAGGTGCATGTAAGGAGATTACATGGAGAAAATGCAAAAACATGCTGTAAAATCATGAAACTTCAATTTTTGCAGTTTTTATGGTGACTTCCCTATGTCTTTCTTGTATGACTACTAGTACTGTACTACTGTACTAGAATAATATTTATTGTTTCAACTACAATCTAAAACACTGAAATCCTTCCTTTCCATCCTACTGCAAAATAAAACCACTGCGAAGGTTTCACAATTTACAGAAGTGATTTTGTGAAGATTTACTATACTTGATGTTACTGTAAAAACCGAAAGGGGCGAGCATGTCACAACCGGGAATCGAACCCGAGTTGTCCGCTTGGCGGTCACCAACGCTAACCATTACACTAAAAGGTCGCACGACCATTTAGCATGGTCAGTTAGCGGAGGATAAACCCCACTGTTACACTACTCCCCCCTTTTCTTTC